TCTATCACACTGGACGAGTGTGCGTGCATGCCCAAAATTGCAGGAGGAGAATGGAGGGGAGGGATGGGGCGGGGCCATTCCCCCTGAGGAATGATTTCTCACTTTCCCTCTGTCTTCTTCAGCAAGTTCATGTGCCCAACGATGAAAACCTACATATAAAAAAAGGAAAAAGTAGGTTTAAATTTTATTAATGTAATTATATATAATTAATTAATTTAATAACAAGTAGCTTTGTAAACACTCAGGATTGATTAAATTAAAACTTAAAAGCGGGGAGAACTCGGAGGAACGCCTGAGCTGATCAGCACCGAGGACAGCGCCCGGCAGCGCCTGAGCCCAGGTCACAGTTCAGCCCAGACTAGCACAGAGGAGCGAGCTCATGGGCTCTTGATCGGACACATCCCCACACGCATCCACTCGCAGACACACACCCCGCTGTACAACGGCAGAATCCCACCTACAATCACCCCAGATCACAGCTTCACAGTTTTTCGAGATCTGTCTTCATTTCGACGCTGACAGAGTGGTTACCTAGATGGAAAAAAGCAGCAAAATTCCATCCAGGAACTCCAGCAGACGCCAGAAAAGGCTGGCTTGGAGTTATCGCCTAAAATGAAAACTTCCATGGCTCAGTGTGGGCTAAGAGATGATGGGAAAATAGGAATTGTAGAGTTGGTTCTTGCATTACCCACAGAAGAGAATTTCCTGCTGCTATTCCTATGCCAGTAGCTGAAGCCCTGTGAGGAGTTCATGAAGACATGGAGAAGATATGACACTGATCTCAGTGGCTTCACAGATACTGAGGGACTTAAGAACGTTTTAAAAGACCTGCTAGAAAAGGCAAACAAGACTGTCGTTGACACACAATTAGCGGAGCACACAGACCTAATGCTGAAATTGATTGATTCGAATAATGATGGGAAGCTGGAATGAACTGAGATAGCCAGGTTACTGCCCGTGCAGAATTTTCTTCTTAAACTTCAGGATCAAGATGTGTGGAAAGAGTTCAGTAAGGCGTTTGAGTTATATGATCAGGATGGAAATGGATGCACCCATGAAAATGAATTAGATGATTACTGAAGGAGCTGTGTGAGAAGAATAAACAGGATCTGGATATTAATAATATACCAACATACAAGAAGAGCCTAATGGTTTTGTCCGATGGAGGAAAGCTGAACTGAATGAACAGACATTGCTCTTATTCTCTCTGCTGGGGACAACTAGGATTGGTGGCCACACCCACTTGCTAGTGATGCATTGTATCTACAAAGTAACTGAACACTATAAGGGAGTAGGCTGTATCTTCTTTTATATTTGTACATTTAACTGCATATAGATAACTACCCAGGATGTGTGGCTTGTTCTTTCAGCTTGTTTCTATACTGCGTGTAATGTACAGTTTTTGCAACTCTATGATTGAAGGGTAGGAAGTCTCTGCTTAGTTCCCTCAGTACAACTAATTCTAAAATAATAAAAATAAACATATTCTTGTTTTCATAAATAAACCTGCACAAGAGGGTTTTTTTTAGTTCTACCAGGATTAATCTCTAAAACTCTAGTCTCTGATGTATAAATGCGCATTTGTCATTGAATAAGAGAATTACACATGAAAAAAACAACCATTTTTATTTTAGACAATCACAGGACTGCCCCACAAAGTATTTCTAAGATATACTTGACTATTAGTAAGATGTGCTGTTGCATCTAAAATACTCACCTCAATAGCAAGAAATGGGCAATTGTGTGAAGAAGTTAACAGTCTCACTGAAGAAGATCCAGTTTACTAATCAACAGTGTCTACTGCTCCAGTCTATCCCAAATTACTGGTTCAAGTTTATGGTGCCCAGGGAAGGTAGCACAAGAGGACCAGCACTCCATCTGAGTCTATGCCTGTACCTCCAGCAAGGCTACTGTCAGAGAGTGCGGCCCTCATTTGCAGATTATAATATCCTAGTAACCTGCTGTCTTTGTCATATTCTGTGTAATCTCTGATTGAATTTAATAGTCTGAGTATCCTTATGTCTAGTTTACCCGCTTCCTGGGTTTTCTTTCCATGTAGAACTGTTCATTTCCACCAAGAGTATCTGATGCCACTGAAAACATTTTTTCTAGCTATAACAGCTCTATTTTTTACTACATAACTGGATTTTAATGTAAAGTTTATAGCACCCTGATTATTAAATGTTGAATCATGAATACTTTTGTGTACTCTGTGAATTCTATGTTTCATATTGAGATCAGCATTCAAATAGTCCTATTTCTATCTGTAAATAGTTTGAAGTGAGTTTTAAAGGAGCTGGACTCTCATGTGGCCAACCGTATTTCAAGTCCGAGACCTGGTGGCTTCCTTTCTCAATTTCCCCCTCTCTCTCTCTCTGGTCAAATTGGAAAATATTAATAAATAAAGTTAAAATAAAATAATTCTTTTTAAAAATTTTGATGAGAAATGCTATTATAATCATTTATCTTATACTGCAAGAGAGCTCTAAATCATTCTTTGACCCATATTCAAGTCACAGTTTCACATATTGTAGCTAGAACACCTGTACTGGTTATTGCTGACATGTACTAGTTGGTGACTTGGATTCTTTGATGGTGAAGCAAGGATCCATGAGAGATATGTCCGTGTGAGATTTATAAAGTTACCGCCCAAAGAGTTCATGGTGGTTCTGGGTCAGTTAGACTGTCCCCATTTTGTAAATGCAACATCTATTTTCTCAGTTTATAAAAACAACAAAAAATGTGAATTCTTCCCCTCAAGAATAAACAAAAAAGAGATATACCAAAAATGAGATTCATCAGATGATGTAAATGGGTGGTAGACTGGCTCTGTCTCTAGTTTGTAAATGGAAGCACTGACAGTAGGCTGGATTTAACTCCTAAGAATAAATAAATAATAAAATAACCTTAAAAAAAAAAAAACCTTAAAAGCTGGGACCAGCCAGTGGCATGGTGGTTAAGAAAGACAGAGAGAGAGAGAGAGAACGCATCCCAATGGGGTGTGGTCACATCACAATCTTTTTCCCCTTATTTCTCCATCCTGTCGGCATTTCAAGCACATGTGCACATACACCTGGCATGGTTTTCAAGCTGCCAAGGAATGAATTTGAACCATAGTCAGCCACGTGTGATCTGGCTCCCTGTACACAGCATGTAACAACTGTGCTTTGGAGGGAGCCCAAAGGATAATACACCTCTGATTCCCCTACGTCCCAGCAGTGGCACCACACCTGGCACACAGTACATGTTTCTAGGGCTGAAGTAAACAGAACTCCCTAATGCCCCAACAGAGAAACTTAGTCACTGCTTAGGCTACAGGCCAAGCTCCCTTGTGTTCTGTCATGTCTCTCTCCATGTGGGATGCTGGCCATCTGGGACTGTGCTCTTTCCCCACCTCATCTTCCATGTGCTCCTGCTTTCATGCCAAACACTAAATCTGTAGCTCCCAGAACTCTTAGGATCCTTCCTACCCCGCCCCTCCATCCCAGCATCCTCACTGATGATCCTGCCATGCTTTTCTCTACCGTCTTCCCCTTGTATCTAGTAAAGTGTCTTAACTCCTTCTTCATCTTTCAACTGCAGTGACTTTTCTAGAATGCAGACCTGATTAGGGTCTCCCTGTGAGGGTATGCAGCCTAATAACAGGAGGCAGTTATCAAAATGCCTCACTAATCACTTTATTGTGAACTGGCTGACACATGCCTTGGATGTGAGGGGCTCTGTGAAAACATTTACAGGGACATGGGAAACATCCTGACCCTGGCTATGTTATGTGATGCCCATCTGATGTTTATGGCTTGCCCACAATCTGCTCAGTAGTAAACCAAATGGGCCTTTACTGAAGCCAGCTCACCTGCCAACAAACAAGCTGACTTGACACATGATGCATACCTGGGTCACACATGACGGCAACAAGACCCTGAAAATGTAAACTCTAAAGGTGTTTATCTCTGACTGTGAGACTTTAACTGCATTCCTGGACACTTGCAAAAACCTCACCGTGCTTTTGTAAAATGAACAAATAAAGATGCTCAGCACAACTGAGCAGCACAGCTTGTCTGTGTTCACCTGCATTTCAGCCTCTGTGCCTTTTCTTTTTCCCCAACCTTTTGCTTTGCAGGACCAAGTCCCAGGTGGATGCTGAAATCTCCCTGAATACGCATCGCCATATGGTATACATTGTACTCAGGAAAAAAACAAAGTTCTCTGTGAGCTCACGAGGACTTCGTTATTGAACATGTTCATCCTCCATCTTACATTTTGCCACTGCTCTTTCCCCTCCAGTCTCCATCTAGAACTGCTGGCCATTCCCCCAACTCCTCACGCACCCTGTCTCTTTTTGGAGCCTTTGTTTATGATGCTGATGCCCCAAATAGTTTTGTTTTTCTCATTCACCTGGATCACCTCAACTCCTATGCCAGGTCTCAGTATGGAGGGTACATCCTATCGGCAGGGATCCCAAGCACTGATTTTTTTTAGAATTATTTATTTTATTTATTCATTTATTTGTTTTAATTTGACAATAGAGAGATGAGAGAGAGAAAGTGAGAAAGAAAGTGAGAAAGCAAGCCAGGACTTGAACCAGGGTTGACCATATGGGAATGTCCAGCACCTTAACCACCACAGCATCTGCTGGCTTCACCAAGCACTAATTATAAAAGGTTATATGTCCCTGTTTATTCAGCCACATTGTGATTTCTTTGATTCACTGAGGTCCAGCAAAGAGCCTGGTACATGGTAAGTGCCTAATAAATGTTTGCTAAGTGAATGTGGGTTTTTCTTTTGTAATTCAGAATTTATTTTGACCAATGTACATACAAAACTTAAAAATTTAAAGAATAAGATGCCTAGGATCATCCCCATAGCAAAGCAGTTATGTGCTAGGCTGAGGAAGCTGTGTCCCAAATGGCTGACCCAGTCCTGCGTCCCACATGTTCAAGTCCCAGCTCTGGCAGTAGCACACAGGGTGCACATGTGCCCAGAATCCTGATGGGATGAAGAATTGAACAAAAAAGAATTTTTATGTGATTGGGCCCCTTTGGGGGTGAGTGCTCTCTCTCTCTCTCTCTCTCTCTGTCTTTCTCTCTCATGTTCACTCATGTGCCCTCTAGCATTAAAAAAAAAAAAAGTTTCTAAAGTGACAAAAATATTTCCTCCTCCAACTCATTCACAATTTGAAATTCTTCTAAATTCCTTTCTTAGACACAACCACTGTGACCGTCTGCACAGCCCCACACAGAGGTCTCCCTCTGTTCCTTTATGTAGGTGTTCAGTTGCTGCATGTATTCTAGTGGCACCTTTGCTTTCCGCTAAGGCTATACATCAGATATTTTGATTTTTAAAAATCTATAAAGTCCAATTATTCTTATTTTACACTAACAGAGTTTTATTTGGGCACTCAGCCATCCAGATGAAAACTGCATGCTCTGTTCTCCCTTGAGACTCCCTGTGTCTGAGTGACTAAGTTCTGGCCACAAAGATGAGGCAGATTTCACGTCTGCTCGTAAGTTTTGCTCTTAAAGGAGCAAACTTATCCTCCTTCCCCACTTTCCCATCCCTCATCATGAATCGTGGACACAGTCTTAGGTACCTTAGGTCAGTAATAAGGGCAACCCCGTGGGAACCCAGGGGCTGGACAACCTCCCGGTGCACAGACAGCCTAGGGGCCTGGACTGCCTGTCCACGTCATGGGAGACACGCATAAGCCTTTGTCCTGTTTCACCCTTTTGTTGCATGTCTGTTGCACATAGATTAATATTCTAACATGTGCAGAGAGTGGGAGCTTTCCAGGTGGGGGCTGTGGTCTGCTCTGGAGACAAGTAGAGAGGTACCGACAGCATCCACCACAGCGTGCTCCTGGGGCTTTTGCTAAATTGGAGTAAAGGAGATCTGGGCACAGGGAGATGGGGGACTGTCACTTCTCCCACCTTTGTAATCATGGGGGCTTCCCTGGGGAAGTGTTTGGGCTCCCCAGGTGTCAGATTCAGTTTTGTTTTTTCACTTCCTGCCCTCTCTACAACAAGATCCTTTTTCATCCAAGCCAGGGTCAGACTCTCCTCTCTTCCTCCTCCTCTTTCCCCTCCTACTCTTCCTCTTGTACCCCCAGTTTGATGGCAGAGGCAAAACAGTTCTTTGGGTGCTCTCAGACCTACCAGTTCTCTGTCATTTCTCACTTGTAGTTCTCAGTAATACCTGTAGAAAGTGTTGGAAATGCACATTCCCAAGATAGGGAGGAGCTGCCTATAAGAGCTCCAGGCCAGGGCTGCTCCAGCCTCTCCCCTGTGGGACATGTAAATTGTCTGAGGACGCAACCAGGTTTGCTTCCTATGAATGGAAACTCACTGTGTGTATTTTCCTTGTTCCCTGTGAGCGTGTTCTGTCTCACAGGACTCAGTGGACCTGCAGACCAGGATGCGATAGGTGCAAGTGTTCAGGCTCCTATTCCTGGCTGTTTACAACAGTGAGGCTTTTGCTCTCTTCCAAGAAGTGACAATCCTCTCTGAAGAGTGGCTATTAGTGAACGTGTATCACAGCAGGGACTGTGGAGAGTGAGGTCTAAAGGAGAAATAACTCTGTTGCTCATAAACCACCCGTTTTTAGGCATCTTTGTTACAGCAGCCTGACAGACTAGGAAAACTGTGCTTGATGCTACGTGGGAGTCAAGGGAAGTTCCTCAGATGGGTATTTATTTATTTATTTATTTATTTATTTATTTATTTATTTTTGGAGAGGTTTTTGCTATAGGGATGCGCTCGCCAGACAGACAGAGACGGAGAGACAGAAAGCAGGAAATCACCCCCCAGGGGGGATGACCACGGTGCAATCCCTTCTCCTCCATTCTCCTCTCGGGATCTTGGGCACACACGCACACGCGCCCGGCGTGAGTTTAAGCCACTGGGTCCGGGACTTCAACCGCGGTCGACTATGTGGGAGTCCAGCGACATAGCCATTACACTAACTGCTAGTCCCATCAGATGGGTTTTTAAAGGGATCAAGATTAGTTCTCACACAGATGGTACTAGGTTTCTGTCTGGGAGATGGACACACAGAGCCAAGCTGGCCATGAGAGCAGCTCTCTGGTGCCTCAGGTACAAACTGTTCAGTTTCTAGGGGAAACACATATCCCTCCACTTCTGCTCTCTGACTGAGGACACTCGGCCACCACGTTTCTAGAAGAGCCCAGGCAGAACACTAGCTCGTTTTTGGGAGGCAGGGAGTCCAGCTCAAGGGAGGAATTCTGGGAAATAAAGCAGAGACAAAGAGCCTGGGGCTAGTTTGGAACTCTCAAAGGTTTACTTGGAAAAATAGTTCTCAAGATACAGTCAGTGGAGAAGAAGCCACGGGCCTTCAGAACAAGGTTCCACATGGCTACTGTGAACTAGATTTTTAAGGGAATGAAGATTTTTCTACTAATAATTCAGCCTCCAACAAACGAGCTGGCAACAGATCTAAGAGCACTGTAGCTAAACATTCAAATACTAATAGGGTTGAAATATTCCCCACTATCTACTGAATCTGCTACACCAGCAAGCACAATAGAACAGCAAAGAGATTCTGGATCACCTCTGTCTGCTTGCTCCTGAACATTAAGGCTGAACCTCCAGAATTTGAAAGAAAACACAACATTCATCAGATGACAAGAAATCACCGCCGGATCACGAGAAACATGGGAAAACAAGAAAATACCTCTCCTCCTAGGGAAAAGAGTAACTCTTCATCCACAAGCAGTTCGGTGAAAATCATGGAAATGTCTGATAAGGAATTCAGATCATTCATAATGTCTAAGCTAACAGAGATGGAAGAGAAGAGAGATAATGAACTGCTAAAGAGAAAAGAGAAAGAAATTGACGAGTTCCAAGAGATGAGGAAATTCCTGCAAGATCTAAAAGTGGAATTACACACTTTACAAAAGACTCAAACCGAACTGCTAGAGATGAAGTCTATAATACAAGAAGTAAAAATCTCCCTGGAAAGTATTAAAAGCAGACTAGATCATTCCGAAAATAGAATCTCAAATGTAGAGGAAAAAATGGCCGGCCTAGAAAAATCCACCATGAAGACTGAAAAAATGGCACAAAAATTTGAGAATAATATGCGAGAAGTACTGGATACCATCAAACGTCCAAATATCCGGATAATTGGCATTCCAGAAGGTGAGGAAACCCATAAGGGCATTGATAATCTATTCCATGAAATCCTGCAAGAAAACTTTCCAAACCTAGAGAGGCATTCAAAGATCCAGTCCCAGGAAATACAACGGACCCCAAATAGAATCAACCCTAGAAGATCTTCTCCAAGACACATTATAGCCAGGTTGACCAAAACTGCAGACAAAGACAAGATACTAAGATTAGCAAGAGAAAAACATCAAGTTACCTACAAAGGACATCCCATCAGGCTAACAGCAGATCTCTCATCAGAAACAATAAAAGCGAGGAGAGAATGGGAAAATATATTCCAAGTGTTAAGAGAGAAGCAGTTTCAGCCAAGAATACTGTATCCGGCAAGATTATCTTTCAGGTGGGAAGAAAAGACAAGAACATTCTCAGATAAACAAAACCTGAAAGAATTTACCAGCACCAGACCAGACCTCCAAGAAGTTCTCAAGGATGTGCTGTATCAGGAAAACTAAACGCAGATACATGGAAATAAGAGTCCAAAAACTGAGAAAGTAGCTAACTTAATCATAGGGACAAGTCTGGAGTTGAATACTATATCCCAGAATTTAATCAGGAAAATTGAACCAGAACAGAAGATAAAAGTATATGAGACTGATAGGTTCATGCACCTACCATTTGAACAGAATCCTAACCTGTTTCCGGGCTTTAAGCAAAGTTCCTTGGCGGTTCTTTGATTTAAGTTAAAACTGGTTTTCTTAGTAGTAACGAGGGAACTCACCTTTGAAAGTAGTCAGGTTATGTAGGAAATTGTGTGATCAATGCAATGTGGGTGGGAAGGGAATGGAGGACAATTTTGGACACTAGAGGTGGTGTGAGAGGAGGGTGGGAAGGGACAGAGGGTCAGAAAGAGGGGTGGAATTAATTCTAGCAACTAGAAGTGGAAATTTATATTTTTTGTAATGTGCATGATTGAGTCACTATGCAGTGTGTACTGGATGGGAGATCGCATTTTGTGTGCTGTGATGATGCCTAGAGAAGGAATGTAAATTGAGTTACAAAAAAGAGTTTCAGGAAAACAAAATATATCTATTCAATGACTGCAGTAGGATATGTAGCCCCAGTTAGGTGCTACTTGATAGGATGCGTAAAGTTAGACTTGTGCTCATGGAAATGTGTCACATGTGACTTGTGCTCATGGAAATGTGTGTGTCACATGTGTTTGCTAGGAGGGTATTTGGATTGATGAGGGTCTTTGGTGATTCAATAAAATGTGGGGGGGAAATGGTATAGAAATAGATAACAGAGACAGTGTGGGAGGAGAACAGGAGGTGGCAGAGGGTAAGAGAGGGAACCAAGGATGGGGGAGAAAAAGCAAAACATACAGAAAACAAGAAATGGAAGATCATTGACTAATAATAACATGTTTGTTGATGTGCTTGATTGAGACAATATACAGTGTACTCTGGATGGAAAATCTCATTTTGTATGCTATAATGATGTACAATGAATGAATGCAAATAAATTGGAAAAAAAAAAAGATACAGTCAGTGAAACCCTTGGAGGTGCTGAGACTCGCCTTTCACAGAGTCCACAAGGCCAACACTATTTTTATAATATCAGTAAGATATTATGAGAACTAAAGTAAACCTAGCAAGAATAAAGGCTAGGATATTAAACTGCCATAGTAACCACTATTCTCAACTACTTAACTGAAGAAGGAAAAAAAGAGCCAGTTTCACTTCAGCATTTCCTGGTTAGGGTATTAAAAATAAATAACCTTATTAACTCTTCTTTCTAGTGTCGACACTTTCAAATGTCTTACATGATTAAACGGGAAATATGCATAAAACACTGCTACTATAATCCAGAGTAGGGTATCTGTATCAGGGAAAATTATTTCTTTTGAGCTGGGTTAGCTTCATTTTTATGGAATGGCAATTTTACTTGGAAGAATGAATGACAGAGATAGTATGGTTATTTAGACTTGTTTTTTTGTTTTTATTTTTAGGGGTTTCTTTGCATATGACACACGTGCTCAGCAGAGAGAGACAAAGAGAGAGAAAATGAGCTATCCCCCCACAAGGAGATGGTTACACCCTCTCAAGCTTTGGGACACATAAGCATACATTCCAGACCTGATTTTCAAGCCACAGGTATAGGACTTAAACCATGTTGGGCCATTTGAGAATTCAGCGCCTTCACCACACCACCTACTGGCCCCGGACTTCGGTATTTCACTGACACTTTTGACACCTGAATATTTGCCCGAGCCTGTCTCTTCAAGATAATCCACTGTGTAATTTTGCCAACGATAGGATGTAAGTTTCCAAGAGAAAATTAGAATTATGAGGAGTTTGTACTTACCACCATTACCTTGACATCCTCCTCACACTTTCAACCTTTGTGGTGGAGTGTGAAGTAATAGTAACACATGCCATTTTAAAAATAAGATTTACGAGGACCAGCAGTTAGCGTAATGGCTATGTCACTGGACTCCCACGTAGTCAACTACGGTTCAAGTCCGGACCTGGCAGCTTAAACTCATGCCAGGCATGTGTGCGTGTGTGCCCAAGATCCCGAGAGGAGAATGAAGGAGAAGGGATTGCGGTGTGGCCATCTCCCCAGGGGGGTGATTTCTCGTTTTCTATCTCTCTGTCTCTCTCTGTCTTTCTGGCGAGCACACGCGCCCTATAGCAAAAACCTCTCCCAAAAATAAATAAATAAATAAATAAATAAATAAATAAATATTACTTCAAGGTTCAACACAGGATGAGTAATCTAATTCGGTGAAATAACACATTACTTTAAAAAATTATGCATTGGACCAGCAAATGGCGTAGTAGTTAAGCCACTGGACTCCTACATGGGCAACTATGGTTTGAGTCCTGGACCTAGCAGCTTGAAACACACCACGTGCATGTGCGTGAGTACCCAAAATCCAGAGAGGAGGAGGGAGGAGAAGGAATCGCAGCATGATCGTCCTCCCTATCCTCCCTGGATACAATTTCTCTTTCTCTCTCTCTCCAGCAAGTACATGCAACCTATAACAAACAAACAAAAAAACAGACATATGAATTTCAATGTAACAAAGTATATAATATTCAATGATGCTTTTTCAGTTTCACTTTGCACATTACTTTAAAAAATTATGCATTGGACCAGCAAATGGCGTAGTAGTTAAGCCACTGGACTCCTACATGGGCAACTATGGTTTGAGTCCTGGACCTAGCAGCTTGAAACACACCACGTGCATGTGCATGAGTACCCAAAATCCAGAGAGGAGGAGGGAGGAGAAGGAATCGCAGCATGATCATCCTCCCTGGATATGATTTCTCACTTTCTCTCTCTCTCTCTCCAGCAAGTACATGCAAACTATAACAAAAAACAAAACAAAACAAAACAAAACAGACATATGAGTTTCAATGTAACAAAATATGTAATATTCAATGATATTGTTTCAGGTTACACTTTGCACAAAGCTTAAAAAAAAAGAATTATTCTACTTTATTTATTTTGACTATTTTGTGTAAAGCTGAATTTTTTTCATATACTTTCAACCAAATAATAGATTAAATAAATATGAAAATCCAGTGATCTTCGTTTTCCAGTGATTTTTTTTTTTGACAGGTTTTTGCTAGAGGGCACATGCACTCACCAGACAGACAGAGAGAAAGAAAGCAAGAAATCACCCTGGTCCTTCCAGTGATCTAACTAGACAGACAAGAACTACCAAAAAACGTAAAAAGATCCATTCTTCTAACTATACTACTTTATTTTGGAAAATAATTATGTCTCATAAATACAATTCTGTTAACATACCTAGAGATAGTAAACTCTGAATAAATTAAATATTTTAAAGTGTTTTAGTTACTGATATGCTAAATGATATGCTAAATATTTTAATTACCGATATGCTAAATATGCTAAATATAACCCATATAAACAAAACTAACTTTGGAGACCTCATGAATTCCTAAGAGCACATTAAGACACTGAAACCTAAATGTTTGAGAACCACTGACTTCAGCTTCAGGGAGACGAGGTGACAAAGAGAGATCGGTACAAGACAAAAGGGTCAGGGCAAAGCCTGGGGTCTCAGTCCCGAGGGCAGAGTAAGGAGCAGGGAAGCCCAGCACTGGGGAGTCCCCTTCTCCCCAAGTTTCAGTTCCTCTCCTAACCCGAGTGGAGTCCTTCTGCCCAGACACTCCTGACGCGGCCCCAGCTCTCACTCCCATTGGGCGCTCTGTTTTCACAGGAGCCAATCAGCGCCATCGCGGCTCCCGGTTATAAACTCCCCAGGAACCAGGTAAGGGTCAGATCGCCCCAGACTCTGAGGATGGTGATCTTGGCGCCCCGAACCGTCTTCCTGGTGCTCTTGGGGGCCCTGGCCCTGACCGAGACCTGGGCGGGTGAGTGGGGGTCGGGGTCAGGGGGAACCGGCGTCACGGGAGGAGGAGGGAACCGCCCGGCGAGGACGCGGGGCTCAGCAAGCCCCTACTCCGTGCTGTCATCTGTCCTGACCCCGTGTCCGCTCCGCTCACCTCCGTTGTCTCGTCCTCTCCTGGCCCGTGGACCTCGGACCCGGGGTCCACAGGGAGGAGGGTTGCCGGGTCTCACTGCCTGTTCCCCCCAGGCTCCCACTCCATGAGGTACTTTGAAATCTGCGTGTCCCGGCCGGGAGGAGACCCCCGGTACTTAGAAGTCGGCTACGTGGACGACACGCAGATCGTGCGGTTCGACAGCGACTCCGTGAGTCAGAGGATGGAGCCGCGGGCGCCCTGGATGGACAAGGTGGGGCCGGAGTACTGGGAGGAGGAGACACAGAGAGCCCAGGAGTACGCACAGACTGACCGACGGAACTTCCGGATTCTGCTCGGCTACTACAACCAGAGCGGGGCCGGTGAGTGACCTGGGCAGCGTCACAGGTCAGGACCCCCCTTATATCCCAGGGACTGGCGGCATCGCCCCGATTCCCGGGTCAGAGCTTCACTCGAAATGGCTAAGACCCTGAATCCGGGAGAGCCCACGGGGACCTTTCTGGGATTCACTTTCTTTCTTTTCTTTTTTAAAGAATTACCTATTTTTTTTATTCATTCATCTATTTTAATTT